CACGAAATACTGTAAATTAAATGCTGAATGGCGGTTCATGTAGGGAAAGAACATATCAATATTCGCATATTCATTCAAAAACATGAAAATTCCTAATGGAGTACCCTCATTTTTTATTGAATTCCTAAAAAAAAATATTTATAATGAATTTTAATAAGTTTTTCGAATTTTTTTTAAGCTTTATTCTGACCGATTCACCCCGATTCCCGATCCGGATCGCCGATTCGCCGATCCGGATCGGTTTTTTGGAAGCCCGATCTAGGTCACCGATCCATTTTTTAAACCATTGGCGGTATGGGTTAGGGGGCGGGGCCGTGACACTTATGACCTCCTCGTATCTAAAATAAATGGCCTTAAATTGTATTAATCCTATATGGAAAAATGGCAAAATTTGAGAAATGGGAGGATGACTCACTTGAGCACATCTTCTTTAAATACGATCAGCTCTCTAAGCATTCTCCAAAAGTGAGGGTTGAGAGCGTTACTCTTTTGTGCAAATAAACCAGCCAAACCACTCCTACTCCCCCATTCATATCCTTGACCACCATCCAAGCTTACGGAGAACGACATATCTGATATTTCCATGTCAATCCCTAGGCTTTCAAAAAACTCCATCATGTTTGGATATGTTACCTGCAAATTGTTATTTCAATCAAGCTCAACAAGCATGCAGGGTAACCTTTCAAAAATACCTCACACCTCAAAAAACAGAAAACTCACTCCTTAGAAAAATAAAAAAAGGAAAAAAAATCTATCAAAATAATTCACATCTTCCGGTTTTTTTTAGTAGAATATCTATCATCTGCACATATAGAGAGATGAGCGTGTATAGTATGTTCTTGTCCGCATCTACGTAAAAAATCAAGTAGAAGACTAAAAAAGAACGAGGGATAGGCCCAAAAATATATGATTGGAAGTAGTGAGAAAAGATATAGAGACTTACATACTCATTGAAGGTATGACCATTAATAGAGCAGAGCGGCATATCAAGATTTATGTAGCCGATCCCAAGTAGTTGGAACGGCATACTAGGATTCAGCTCACAAATACTCATGCCCGTCATATTTCAAATCGGGTGATAGTAAGAGTCAATGATTAGAATCAAAGTAAATAATTAAAAAGAAAAAATCTAATGGTTAGAAGTAATTGTGATTTCTTATAACAAAGATAAATAATTTGGTAGTATACAATCCCAAAAAATTTATGTAGGGAAGTAAATTTTTGTACAATTACTCCTTGGTCCATATTTTAAGAAATTTTATAATGAGGCATTTTATTTTTCCCAAAATTTTCCCTCGTTTTGATGTTTCAAATGTCAAACTGCTTCTCTCTTCTTCTTCTTCTTCTTCTATATATATAGTCAGATGGACAATATAGTGAACAACTCCATTTTTGGAGCGCTTCCATAATGGTTATACTGCGCTAACCTACGGCCTACTATATTCTTTTGCAAGGTGCGGTTTGATGTTCCAAACACCTCCCAGGTAAACTTAGAAAGAAAAGTTGCCATTTGGGCCAATTCGATGTATGGAACGTTGGATCGCCCCATCTAAAAGGGCAATCCGGTCTTGCTGTTACCTAGAAATAGTTTAATATCTTATCCAGTGGACTACCCCACAAATACTAAAAATAAAGAAAGAAAAGAAAAATAAAGCAGTTCAATATTTGAAACATCAAAAAAGAGGGCAATACTAAAAAAAAGAAAGTAAAAAAATACAAAAAAAAAGAGTAAATTTATGGAAATATGGTCTAAAAAGCATTTCCATAAGTTTTACCCAAAAACCCGATTTCTATGTGGCCAAGCCTGCATAGGTAGAAACACAGGCCTCTTAATAAATCTATTTTTTAGATGGATTTTAAGACTTAATTTTTAAAAACATGTAATCTCTAACATACATATCATAAATCTGAAAAAAATAAATAAATTTTAAAAACTAAAAATAATAATTCTAGTAAGAAAACATTTGGACCATTAGTTTTCATTGTTTTTAGATGGAACACCTACTTGCATCCATCTTTTAGATGGATGCTTTACACTTTCTAGACTGCATATGTAGAAATGCGGTTCGGCCCACATGAAACAACTTTCCTTTACCCAATCCATATGTATATTGCCTAGAGGATACGGTTTGCATAGAGCCAAGGCTTTAAACAATCAAAGTAGGGCCCACCTTTAAATAGTGTCGAGAATTGTGGTTTCAACATTGAAAATATTTGTAATAGCTTTAAAATATATTTTCATATCTAATTATAAAAATTTGAAGCTTAAAAAATAGTGTAGATCAAGCAGATCTATGAAAACTTGAGAATCTTGAAAATTGATGGTCAAAAAATACATTACCAGATGGACTATTTCCAACACTTAAAATCCATTTTTTTCTTATGTTCATGCATCTTGATGTCGAGATGATCGATTTGAAGATATTAGGGCATGAAGACAACATTTTCTAGTGAAATTTTTGAAGTACGCTATAATTTGATTGTTTAGAACCACGACTCTATATAAACTCTTTCGTTTTGAGAGTTTCTTGCTTTTCTCCCCATTGCTCTATGAGTTCAACAAAGCTCTTAGTACCCCTTTGGGCATAATGATAGTTTTTAAAGGGAATATATATTATGAGACTAGTTATTTTTGGTATAAGAAGGTCACAATCATCTTTAGTCATTAGATTTGAGAGTTGGATACTAAGAACATCACATAAAAGTTGAAAAATTTTTAAATGAGCATTATACTTAATGATGTACCCTTAGCAATTTGATTTTACATTTAATGGCTAAGAATAATTGTGACCTCCTTGCGTCAAAAAATTAACTCGAAAAAAGTGTTCCAAGGCTAAAAAATTCTCCAACTATTCATCCCAACATCAAAATAATGAGATATATATATAAAAAAGTAGATTTTAAGTTTTTGAATCATCCATTTTCAAGATTTTTAAGTATTTCTAGATCACCTAGATTTTGATATGCACTATTTTGAAAAATTTTATTTCATAATTAATATTGAATACAGATTTTCAATAAGTTTTTAACATCAAAACTAATCTTCTATTAAAATATTTTCCATAAACTCACCCTTAGGCAAAAGTATTTCGATATTTTGTGGTGAAAATATTTTATTTTTGTGAGAAAATACGATTTGAAGCGTCAATTTCAAACTTTGGCGAAGAAATGCAACAAAGTTTCGGCTGGGCAACGAAAAGACGATAGCGCCCCGAAATGAACTGAAAGTTTTCCGAAATGACGGGCTCTGAGATAAGGGGACTTACGCGATTGAAGACCATGAACCCTAGGTCAAGGTCGACGCCATCAAGCTTCACAGTTCGAGCATGTCCGCCTAAGTAATCTTCCTTCTCATAAAGAGTTACAGAAACTCCTGCTTTCGCCAATACATAGGAAGAAACCAGTCCGCTTATTCCACCTCCTATCACGGCAACCTTCATCTTTCTTCTCTTTCTACCTGGTTTCAGCTGTGATTGCAAGTTTCAAGAGAGGGAGAACTAGTTTTGAGCATTTTTAGAGGATTTTTTGAAGAAATTTTGGGCGACATTGCTCTCCAAACATGAGTTTTGAGTAGAGAGAGAGAAGTTTCAGGCATTAAGTACAGTAGAAGCAATGAGCTCTGTATTTTGTAAGCATTTCCAGAGTCCATTTTCAAGGATTTTCAGAGGATATTTAGCAATGCCAAGAGATGGAATCAGAATTTTTTTTTTGAGAATGTTAGATGGCATCAGAAATTAACCAGAGTTTCAACCATTAAATAGAGCAAAAGAACACTGAGTGAAAAAATGGGGAGAATTTTGTAATGTATTTGAAATTTTGAACATGATAGAAGTAGTTTAGAAAATCTGTAAACACTCGCTGAAAATTAGACTGAAAGTGGCTGTCATGGACAATTTTGCTTTCAAACCTTGAATTTTCAAGGAATTGTTCAGGCATGAAAAAGGAACTCAGCAATCCTTTTGTTTGAAGAAGAGCAACCATAAGCTTTAGAGCTAGCAAAACTAAAAATTGGCAGCAGCTTATTAGAAATCTGATAAAAAATGCGAAGCATACAGCGATTTGACTCTTTCAGTGAAGAACAGAGCTTGATCTAAAACAAAAATTATCAGATTCCCCGTTTTCACAGATCTGATAACCAATCGATCACGCAAAGAAATAAAAAAGGAGAAAAAAAAGAAAACAAATATCAATCAAAAGAAGAGAGCTCCATGTTTCACCTTGAATCTACAACAAGAAATCAATGGCGTTTATCGCCAAAGTCCCGCAATAAACTCAACTAAAGAGCTTCAGAGACTCGCATTTGACACCAAAGTTACTTCTCCCTTCAAATAGCAGCCATTAAATCTGAAACTCCTGCCAAATTGTTCACTTTCCAGCCAAAATGTGCAAAATATCTGAATGAATTGAAAGCAGAGGTTGATGAAGATATACCAATCAATGCAATTGTCTCTGCAAAAAATTAAAGCTTCAATCATGCTGGCAAAGCATCTCTACAAAAAAGGAAAAATCAATGGATATTGGACTTACAAAAATTATAAAAATCAACGGAGCTCGTCTCATATCAGAAGCAAGTTACTCACTGTAAATTCTTCACTTTTAAATTGACAAAAAAAAAAATATCTTTGTTTTTACCTTTCAAGTTTTCATGTAGGAAGGAAAATTAGGTTTTCTATCATCGATAAAAATAGAAATTCAGGGCAGGAAAAAAGGGTACAAAAACGCAAGAAAAATGTAAGAAACTTCAAGATTGTCAAGACTCAGGCCCAAACACGAGATATAAGTGCTTTATGGACCCTTTAACTCAACCAACGACTTGTCTCGCCAACACAATGGCCCAAATCATTGGGAGAGGGCGTGGTATACTCCCGGGAGAGCAAACTATGCATCTACTCCCTCCGACATAAGGGCTATTTACTTGGATTTTTACCTCTTAATTTTGGAAAACATTTATATAAGGTTGCAAGTTGCAACTATATAGTATACTAGTAAGGTTACCTCAAAAATCCAGCAGAAAAGAGTGTTATGTAGATAGAAAATCTTCCAAATAAAAAAAACCCAGAGATTTCAAGTCCTAAAAATGCTATATCTTGTAACTAGATATATAGATTGTCTATTTTTAAGATTTTCATATGTTTATAGATATGCTCAATCTGTATCATTTTTAGAATTTTAAATTTGACAAATAGAGTTGGACTTGAATTTTCAAAACCATTATAAGATTTTTTATGCCGAAACTACATCTTCGGAAAAATTTTAGAGATGTGCTTGAGTTGTATAGTTGTAGTATTTATTATTAAAATATTGACCATTTAAATATTTTATTATATTATTATATTATTATCTTAATATATTAATATCATAAAATATTTGATATTTTTAATATCATAATGTTATATTAATACTAATAAAACATATTATATAATTACATAATTATTATAATGATGACATTATGAATTAAAATGTTTATATTTATTACTATTTTTTCGAATATTCGTTATAAAACATCATCAACATTATTAATATTGGTACCAATTTTTTATAATATATTATTATTTATCTATCCTACATCATTAAGCCAAAGTTAAAGGGTAGACATCTATGGCAAAAATAAGAATGGAAACCGAATCTATACTGGTTGTAAGAGACAATCTCACAATTTAAAGGAGAGATACCTTTTGAAGAGAAAGACATCTTTTTTTCTAAAATTAATATGTAAAAGAGATTGATGTCCCGACTTTAAAGAAAGAGGGGGACAGGGACGTTTTAAACTCCTAAGACGAGTACTTGGAAGAGGGAAAGAGATTTTTTGGGGGAGCGAATTTTTTTCTAAAAATAGTGTAGGGACTAGGGACTTTTTGAAAAAAGGGAGAGATGTGTGCCCTTCAAAGGAAGAGAGAGAGAGTCTTGGGAAGATGGACTTTTTGAAGAGGGAGAGAAATGTCCCACCTTTCAATGAAGAGAGAGATTAAAAAAAAGAGTCCGTAGAAGAGAGAGAAAAAGAGATATTTTTTTTAGAGTATTTTTGGGAGAGAGAGTAGGTATACAAGTACCAATCCCACTCAAATTTAAAAGAAAAAAAGATAGGAAAAATATTTTATTATTTTTTATTTTTAACTTTTATATCTCATCAAGTTTAAAATTTGAAAATATTACTTATAAACAAAAAGATTATATTTTTTATATCTTCCAAACCAATAAACCTTTTTAACCATATATTATTGACCTCAACAACTTATGAAATGACTCTATCTCTCTTTATTTAAAACTTCATTTCTCTCTCATATCATCATCTCTCGCTCTCAAAACTCCATCTCTCTCTCTCACACATCATCGTCTCTTTCTCTCTAAAAAATCAATCTCTCTTCTTAAAATTCAAACTCTATCTCTTTCTTTATCTAAAACTCTATCTCTCACTAAAACCCAAACTCCATTTCTCTCTCTAAAACTTCATTTCTCTTTCACACATAAGAAGGTGACCTCGTGTTTGAGCTCAAGCTAAACCCTTTGGCTGGTAAACTTAATGAGAAGCAACGAGAGAGAGATGGAATTTGAATAGGGTGTTATTTTAGTGTTTGTTAAGGTAAAAAATTTATGGTCAAAGGGGTCTAAGGGGTTGTAAGAAAGAAAAGATGAAGATATTTTGCTTATCAATAATATTTTCAATTCTTGAATATCTGACTACCATAATATTTTCAATTCTTGGATCTCTTAAGATATAAAAGTTAAAAATAGAGAATAAAGAGATATTTTCCCAAAAAGATCGGCATATATATCTAAATAGGAGATCTTAAAATAGATATTTTAGGAAAAAAAAGAGATTGTTTTCATATTTGAATTAGAGAAATAGGAGAATTTTTATTTCCCTATTTTTTGGTTCAAACTTTCTAAAATAAGTACATATCCCCAACTCAAATTCAATAGTCTCTATTTCTCTCTCATTAGTTAGGATTTTGATGTTATGGAAGTTAGAAAATCCTAAATGAGGGCAAGGCCAAACGATTTGCTTATATAAACTATACTAGCTTTTACTTATCTTTTGTTATCTTTTGCTTAATGAAGTAGATTTCTTTTACTTTTGAAAAAAGTTATATAGAGCTTAGGCTCTAAACAATCAAATTAGAGCCTACCTCAAAACTTTCACTAGAAAATGTTGTTTTGATGCCTAAATATAATCAAATTGATCATCTCGACATCAGATGCATGGACATGAAAAAAAACGGATTTCAAGTTTTGGAAAAATGCTTCTTGTTATGCATTTTTGGACTGTCAATTTTCAATATTTTCAAGTTTTTATAGATTTGCTCGATCTACACTATTTTTGAAGCTTTAAATTTTATAACTAAAGATGAAAATATAATTTAAGGCTATCACGAAACTGTCCAGTATTGAAACCATATTTCTCGACACTATTTGAAGGTAAGCTCTAATTTGATTGTTTAGAGCCTCAACTCTATACAAACAGCACCATTTACTTTTTCATAGTATCAATATTTGTTTCATAGTATCAATATTTGTGGCAATTTAATTATTATAGTTTTCTCCATATCTCACTATTCATTAGTTTTAATGTGGTACTCTATTATACTTTCCATTGCATGAGATGTTTTAGTTATGAATTGAAGCAAGCGAGAGTTTATGTTTACAAAAATGTAAAAATAAGTATTCATGGTCAAAAAAAATTTAAATGTTTGTCAAAATGATAAGAAATATAAATAAACATATTATAAATAGATTTCTTATTTTTTGAGATTTTTTATATTTTTAAATTTTTTAAATAACCCATCTATATGCATGCATGCTCTCTCTCTCTCTCTTGATGTTATAGAAGTTAAAAAACCTAAATGGAGGGCATGCCCAAACCATTTGCTCAATATAACTAGTAATCTTTGTTATCTTTCTCTCTCTCTTTGTGTATAGATCTTCCTTACTCTCAATTATGTACTTATCTTTTTTCTTTTTACAAGGTATCAATATTTGTGGCAATTTAATTATTAGTGTTTTCTCTACATCACACGATTCATTAGTTTTAGTGTGATTCTCTATTATATTTTTCATTGCATGGGATGTTTTAGATATGGACCGAAACAAGTGAGAGTCTATATTTACAAAAATGTAAAAATAAGTATTCATGGTCAAAGTATTTTTTAATATTTGCCAAACTTATAAAAAAATATAAAAAAACATATTACAAATATATTTCTTATTTTTGGGACTTTTTATATTTTTAGTTTTTTAAAATAACC